ATAAAAGTAAACATGCTAAAAATAAAGAATTGACTGAATTTTGTACAATTTAAATTAATCACCCTCTCTCACTCAGCGGAAGAGAATAAAAATATAATACCTGCCGCTTATTAAGCTCACTGATTTAATAAACTTAGCCGCTTAATACGCTCAGATTTCAAGGAACCAAAACAAATATGTACTAATCAATAGAAAAACTGCCATTTATTAAACTCATCCCTCCTCTTAGTAAACTCAAATTGACAACAGACTGAATCTTCATAGTCAGTATATCCTACTTCCATCCTTATAATTTTCAAATTATAAGGATGCAAGTAGTATATTTTTAGAATCTATATAAAAATTTGATCGTCACCTTTCTGAATTTTAACTAAATGTAAAACTATACTGCTTACAAAGTGACAGCATACTAATTCTATTTCAGCTTCTCTAATATTTGCTTGCTCTGAAATTTTTGTATTAAAAATAATCTACCTGGTTTAGTTAATTGAAACTGAAGTAGTTCTTAATCATTCGAACAAGGAAGGCATTTTCTTTATTTCTCAAAGAAACAAAATTAAATCCAAATTCTCCAAAGTTAGTTTTGCATTTATCATGATGAGCTATTTTGTGAAGAATACGTATTTATGGAAATTTTGAGAGACTACATACATTTGTTCGGTATTTGAGTATTAAATTTTTAGAAACGAGCCCTGTATATGTTTTGTGTTTGATTAACCTTACTTTTCTTTTTAACTAATCTTGAAGCTCATAATATTATATTACAAATATTGCTATCTACTAATAGAGAATATAAGTGTCATATTCTTGAGAAATGTACTGCTTTTGCTAGCAATCCTTGATCAAACTGTATGTAAAAATGTTTGAAGAATTTACTCTAATGATCCAAACAAATGAAATAAGTTTTATCTTCTAAGCTATAGTAAAAACTGAGTTCGTAGTTTAAATATTAATTTTTAATTTCAGAAAATTTAGCAAGCATTTGCTTATTTTTACCTGTTTCTCGATTTTTACAGTTCATTAGACAAATCTGATGAGACAGATCTAAAAAACTTTGATATGGGCACCATGGTACCTTTTGTACGGCCTATTAAATTATACACACTTTTTGTTGCAATGCATTTAAACTTAATTCCTAGAATTATTCTAACTTAATTAACCGCTCATTACAAGTTGAACATGACATAAAAACTGCAAATGTTTTAAATTAAATGCCTCTTTCAGTTTTTGTAGTAGAGGTTTCAAACTTTTTGCATTTTTATTTTTGCATAGCAAGTATAAAACTTTCCCAAGTATAAATATGGGAACCGGGATTTCGCATTAAACTTTAGATTTCTCTACTTGTAGAAAATTATTTTTCTTTTTAATTTGAGATTGCCAACACATGAATAATTTCTTGCTTTAAACCAATTCGGTTATTGGAAGTATCTATGACTACGACCGAGATTGCGAAAAATGCGTTTGGTATTGAAAATTACAATTAAAAAAAGGGCACATCTAGATCTTTCATAGCAGTTGCATATACAAAATTTCAGCTTTCTACGACTAAAGGTTTTTGAATTATGCGAGATATATACATACATACAAACAAACGTACACTTCACAAAAAACCCATTTTGAATCCATTTTAAATCCATTTTACAATCTGGTTTGGAAAAGAAATCCTTTATTCTCTCCGTACGTACGAGAGTCACGCAAAAATATCGTTCAAATGGATTCGAAAACGATTAAAATGGATATTTCTGTTAAGATATGATACTCGAAATTTTATATGATTGCAATACTTTCTTTACTTCGTACGAAGTAAAAATTAAGAGCTTCTTTGATTTTCACGTTATTTATTTCGAAAGTTTTATTCAAAGGAACATTAATACATGACAAACAGTTCTCGATTTTTTTAAATAAAAATACATATCCAATGTGATAACTTCACAAGGAGCCATTTTTTTCTATTTTTCTTTGGGTCTAAAAGCTTCTAAAAATAAAAAAATACATCTCCTAGTTTAGTTATTTCAATAACAAAGAGTGAAACAGAATTACAAATTTTAAAGGTTTTTACGGAAATTTAGTTAACTTTCAAATTAAAAATTCTATTACATGTGATAATAATAGTATATTTAAGAAACAATACTGGTCCCACCAGCAGCTAAGTCACTGAACACCGGTAAATCGGTCAGCGGCTGGAATCCCGCTGAACAGGTTAGCTGCATGGGCGTTTGCATGGTTTCCCAACGTCTTAATGTAAGTACGAGCCAGTTTCTCTTAAAAGTCTCCCATCGGCGACCTTCTCCTTGATGAATACTATTGTGTGCGTCGCCGTAATAAAATTAAAAAAAATAGGGTACTATTCGGTTCGAGGGCCGTAAAAAAATTGCAGTGAAATTGTACGCTCAAAAGCGCCAAATCTAGCAAACGCACCCATTTAACAGCGCACCAAATATAGCGTGCGCGCTGATTTCAGATTGAGTAAGTTTATATAGTACTATATTTCTTAAGATGCCATTGAAATAGTAGTTTAACTTTTAAATCCTTTTTTGATTTTAAATCCTTTTTTGATATCCTATGGATTTAACAATTTGGGAATTGCCCATGACGAAAAGTCGGCAATAGAATTTTGGGTAAAGTGCAGAATCACCCACTGCTTGACGCGTTTTTAACAATTGCCCATACTCGGTATCCATGACCTATTTTCACTTGAAAAAAATCCTAGAATTGCACAAAAATGACACTGAGCACGCCCTTGACTTTATCTATGCACACATCGACCTATTTTCACTCAAAAATTAAAAGAAAACTAGCAAAAATCCAATTGTTTTTACCCTTGTAAAAAGCGGCAAACAAATAAGAGAGCGATTCTGCACATTACCGAGAATTTTTTTAATGTAAAAGCATCATTCATTTTAGAAAATTATGTTTGAACAGCCAACGAGATGAAATTATGCTTTAGCGATAACTCGGTAGCGTAATAGCGATGCAGGCATCCATTCAGTTATGTTTAGCAATTTTTATATAAATTATAATAATGATTTGAAATAGTTATTTACTCTTATGCTTCCATTCAGCCACGTTTAGCCTTTTTTATATAAATTAGAATAATAAAAAGTATTATATGAAATTAATCTTTCATCTAAATTAAAACATCAATCTTAGTTATTTACTACTAGAAAACCTGGCGGTCATATGGAAGGACCGCTGTTCTACATATTATAAATTGTAATTAAAATGATTTGTGCAAAGGTGTCTGCTAATTTAAACTGAATTACCCAGGGCAGGCAGCGAGGACGCCCCTTTGCTTACTGCCCCACGGGGTTACCCCTTCTACTTGCCTAATTGCTTAAAGTAGAGTGCAATGAAGGAAATCACTGGTGGTACATTTCTTAAGAGCCCACCACTAGCTCAATTAATAAAGGTGATTTAAATAATGAAATGTTAATTCACATGTCAAAGACCTCTTTGTACACAACATTTGTGTATATCTTTCAATCATTTTCAAGCTCGCCTTGCAGAGGACCATCAATTATTTTTTATTTTACGTCCATTCTTTCACGAACTCTTGACAGGCAACTAAAAGTTGACGGTGTCCAAATGCAGGCTAGGTAAAATAATGCCAACACGCTTAAGCGTTTGGCCCTGAGACTTATGGATGGTCATAGCAAGGGCAAGTTTTACAGGAAATTGTCTACGTCTCAGTTGAAACGGCAAACCTGTGCCGTGGCAACTTCACCCCATTGGGTACTATAGTTACGCAAGCTACCAATAAAATATCGGTGACAAACAGACACTTAGGCCGCATATATATATGGGGTGAAGTAACATTATCTCCTCCGAAACGGCTGGCTTCCGGGCTTAGTGAAGCACACCGTTGGATTCCGCAGGTCTGTGGCACGCCATTTTGACCATTCGCGTCTTCTTGGGACTTTAATTAGCCGATATATTAATTAAAAATTAATTTTCCCCTTAGTTGTCCCTACATTTTCCACTTTCTTTCTTGGGTTTTCCCTATTACAGGGATTTGGCTACGTGCCAAATTCTTTTTTCTCGAATATCTACGGAATGGCGAAATTTGAGACGCGTATCGTCGGATTCCAAAAAATTCTCCGAATCCATGGATACCGTTCTCATTTTCGTGCGACTTTAATCGGCCGAGATATTAATTAAAAACTGCGGAAACGTTAATTTCCGCGCTCATTTTTCCTAGTTGCAACAATAAACTATCGGCGACACACACTTTAGCTACTTATATGAAATAAACTTTATCTAAATTAAACTATTATACTTCCTTTCTTGCTTTAGGGTTGCCGCAAATATTTTTGGCAGCAGGCATCAACAGTAGTTTGGCGATTTTTTACGGCCCTCAAAACCGAATAGTACCACTGATTTTCTACTTTAACACGACCATGCTCGCTTGCAATTATTTTTATGTAAAAGGCATTCGGAAAAATTACAAATATCCTCTGCGCATTATTACTAAATAATACAATATATGTTTTCCTCTAAATTTAGCTAACAAGATACATTAATTATTATTCTTAGAAAAAACATTTAAATTATTTTAACTTTTATCAAAATGTATTTTCGGTCCAAATTAAACCTTTGATGAGATTTTGCGAAATACAATCCAAATTATTTTAACGTCTTTGGAATTTAGATTTATTTATTTTGGATTTCATAGTTATAAATGTGTTCAAATTTCTTTGATCTTTAGAGTTTCCTAATGATATATGAAATCATTTATATTAGTACTGAATTTTAATAACTGAAAAAAACACTAAAGATAAATAATGCATATTTTATTTTCAGATTTTAAAATTAATTTCTCTAAAGATTATATTCCATTTTAGAAATTCTGATATTTACAAAAATCTTGAGCTGCTATTATTTTGAAAATCTTGAGGTGCTATTATTTTGAAAATCTTGAGGTGCTATAAATTTGAAAATACATCAATTTTGTATCAGGAATTTTCCCTTAATTTTCATCTTTCCTGCAAACTGCAGTAATTTCAGACTTCCGTATCAGGAGCGGTCTTACGGCGACGACGTCTGGAACGTCTTCCTGATTTCCTGCGCGGAGAAGATCTTCTTCGTCGAGACCTTCCCTTTTTAGGCGATGAACTCCTCCTTCGCCTGCGACTTTTTGGAGCTCCTGCCGATTTTCCTCGCCTTCTTCTGCTGGAACTTCTACGACGTCTTCCTCTCTCCATAACTTTGTACTGTCCATCCAGCTTTGATAAGATGCCACGATCTACGGCACTCTTCATGAATAATTTGATTTCAGCCTCAATGGATTTAACATCCATTTTTTTATTGTTATTTAAGTAAGTCTTGACATCCCGAAGTGTGGCACCTTTTTTACCTGCAGTTTGCGAATGGCATTCAGAAGCAAACGTCTAAGTCCTGTTTGAGGTTGCGCATTCTTCTTCGCCCCCATTCCTGAAAATCCTTTGGCTTCGTTAAGAGAGTGAACTTCGCTTTTAGTCGTATTCATCATTTAAACAAGGAAGTAAGTTTTATTTTAAATTATTGAAGGCATTAATTAAAACGCTGATGTTTTGAGAGAAAATTCGGGCAACAGTTTGAAATCGGCGATTAAAATCGTGAGAAAATTTTTAAACGAATGCGAAAGCGATCTCGAGGACGAAATACATACATGGTTTGAGTTTTAACAATTAATACTTGTTAGATAATATTTAACAGGCGAGATTTTTATTTATCAAATAAGAAAATATTTTAAACCTCGAGAAGTATTTAATTAAAGAAGAAGTATTTAATAATAGTTTATAAATAATCAATAACTATTTATGAATTATTATTATATTTAATGTTCCAAGTTTGATTTTGGCAGAAGTATCATAATTAACAAACTGTGCATTGTTGTAAATCACATTTGAAAGTGACTTCTTTGAAAAAGCTGGGAATTCTGAGTAGTGTTCGAAAGTAGTCAAGTACTTTGTTAAAGCGGCCATCGGAATTTTTTTGGCGATATATGAAATTTGTCCGTTTTATATTAGACTATAAAAGATTCCCAGTTTGAGCGATTAAGTGAAGGGCCGCTGTAGTAAGAATGTGAAATAATTTTTTATGATATTATTGCCATTTTTGCAACTTCATTTGTATACTTTGTGAATATATAAAGAAGCAATAATAAAAATTCATATAATTTGAATGCTTTTACGTCTAAGGACATGGAACTCGCACAAGATTTTTATTTTACCATATTAGACATATCTTCAAGACAGAATTCTTATTTCTGCAAAAATATTAATTTAACAAGAAGAATTATGATATAAAATTTGACAGGAAAAACTAATATTACAAATTTTTAGTCATATATAAAACTATCAAACATAATTTTTGATAGTTGTATATACAGCAAATAACAAAAGAAAATTTTAACTGAATAATTGTTTCGTTAGTTAAGCTTAGAAGCGTCAAAAGGTACGTATTCACTAGATAAGCTAGATATTGCTTTAAAACTTTATCTAGAAATCCCTTTACTTGAGAATAGATATTGTTACGAATTTGGTATTTAAAAAGCTAATGCTGGTTCAATTATAAATTAAATGGTTTTATTTCTCGCGCAGTGCAGCGCGTGACGAATATTAAAAGAAAGCTAAGCCGGAAAAATTAAAAATACAAGAGCGCGTGCGTTAAATAAATAAATATCTCTTTTTGATTTCGAGAAAGTGCTGGAAAAATTCTAGCGCGTGATTTTAAAATCTTATAAAAGGAGGAAAAATCTCATTGTAGTAGTTGCTTAGTTTGTTGTTGTTTAGAAAACTGCTGTTGTTGATTGTAGCGAATTCGCGGATTAGCGTTCTTTAGCTGTTTTGAATTACGTTCTATTGGACATTTGAGTGTTAAAAGATTAGTTTAAACTGCAGATAATTGAGAAAATTTTGTAGTTTGCTTAGTTTGTTGTTGTTTAGAAACTGCTGTTGTTGATTGTAGCGAATTCGCGGATTAGCGTTCTTTAGCTGTTTTGAATTACGTTCTATTGGACATTTGAGTAGTTAAAAGATAACTACTGTGAGATATTGTAATACTGCATGATAATTTGAGAAAATTTAAGCATTTTTGTTGTGATAAGAATAAATTTTTGTTTATTTTTCATCGGACTTGTGCATTCATTTCATAACGAACCCGTACGCACGCAACAATTTTTGGTGTCAGAAGTGGGATTTGAATGCCAATAACAAGAGCGATGGAAGAACAATTCAGGCAAATGATGACTGCATTTGCTGCTTTCCAAGAAAAGATGGAAGGAGCCGTCAACTCCGTTAAGAAGAAGAAAATGAGAAATTGGTCAGGCCAAGATGGAAGCCGCTTAAAGGAGAGATGGAGATCCGTTAAAAACGGAAATGGAAGCCGTTCACGAAAAGTTGGAAGCTGGTCAAGTAACTTTTAATTAGATCACTTGGCTACATAAAAGCTGTACAAGAAAAGATTGAAGCAGGTCAAGACGAAATGAAAAGAGAAATAACCTGCGTAATAGAAAGTAAATTTGAGGCTATGGAAGACAGAATAGGAGCTGTCGAAATAAAGTCGGGCAAATTGAAAAAAGGTTTTCTTCTGTCAAAGATGAAATAGAAGATAGAGTGTCGGCTGTGGAGCAACGAGTCGAAGGAAGAGTTTCGGCCTTCCAACAACAAATTGAAGAAAGAGTTTTTGCCGTCGAACAACAAATTGATGATAGGGTTTCTGCTGCCGTCGCCAAAGAAGTTGACAGCCTAAAGAAGTGCATAGCGACGGTAGGAAACAATTCTGAAGGTTTCAAATTTTTATCGATGCCTGCTCGTTCCGTTCTGAAACTATCTACATATGATGGGAAGACCTCCTGGCAGGTGTATAGGACACAATTTTCTATCGTTGCGGATGCGAATGGATGGGATTCCCAAGCTAAGGCCTGTCATCTCGCCGCTTCTTTGAGAGCAGACGCAGCAGATATCCTGCAGTCGCTTCCTGAAAACCAGAGATTAGAATTCGAAGCTCTATCCGGCGCCCTAGAGCTGCGCTTTGGGGAGAAATGCCTGAAAGACTAGAGTAGGCTTCAATTAAAATCCCGCCAACAGAAGCCAACCGAATCACTTCAGGAGCTCGCTACGGATGTCGAAAGGCTGTCAAATCACGCCTTTTCGGAGTGCCCGACAGAAACAAGGGAAATTCTGTCCCTGCAATATTTCATCGATGGCATCCGGGACCCTGAAATACAGAAATCACTGCGAATGGCGGATGTTAAAGATTTGAAAAGCGCTTTAGTGTACGCCATGAAATTTGAGGCAGGCCAGCAAGCCACTCGTCGAGACCGCCATCCAGTCAGAGCTGCTCAAGTCCAGGAGCCAGGGGTTCAAGTCACTGCTCGTCTAGACGACAATTGAACGCCTTGAGACGGAATATTGGTGACACGAAACCGACCGTAAAGTGCTGGAACTGCGGTGCTGAAGGGCACATACGACGAAACTGCAGAACACCCCAGGGCACGGATGCTAAGACCGCTCCTAACAAACAGCAGGGAAACTAATTAGTGGCCATATCGCGGGGCGGAGGTTGCCAGATCATGAAAAGCCCCAGTTTAAAGCGCTTCAGATTTCTGCAGTGAGAGGCGGCAGTAATGGACTTTTCATAATAGGCATATTAATGGAGTTCCCTGCAATATATGACGATAGATACAGGAGCCAACGTTACCATCATCCGAAAAGATTTGGCTCAACAACTGGGAAGCAAACTTATCTGGACGCCGCCCTGCGTTACCCTACAGACTGTGTCCGGTGAGAAGATCAACATCGATGGAAAAGTAAATGCTAACATCACGTTTGGAAGTGCCGCTTACCATCACACGGCATATGTAGCAGAGATCACTGATTCTTGCATACTCGGATTGGACTTTCTAAGGAAATACAATTTTTCCTTGGACTTTAAAAATAACGAATTGCATTCTACATCTGAGGACATAGCGTTATTTGGAGTCAATGATGAAGTTAAATCTGTCCTTAAAATCATAGCACAAGACAATATCACAATACCGGCAAGAACAGAAATTTTACTTCCTGGATCCATAGCCGGAAACAGAAATTTCCGCTATGGCATCATAAGAATATCCCAATAACTGTAATAGCCCAAAAGGAGTACTAGTAGCCTCAACACTCGTCGACTTATGCAGAACGATTATCCCGGTGAGAGTCGCCAATGTAACTGAGAAGGCGAGAGTTATTAAGAAAGGTGAAGTGTTTGCAACATGTACTCCAGTAACCACCGTTGAAAGAAAGAGTAACATCCAAGAATCCGTGTCTTCAGAAAGCATTACATCAGAGTTACTTCAGAATGCGCAATTAAACGATGAAGAGAAGAATGCTGCCGATCGCGTCGTTAAAGATCTTCAAGTTGTTTTCTCCGCTCGTACTCTGACGTGGGTCGAACTAGTTTGATACAACATAGAATAGATACCGGTGATCATCCCCCGATCAAGCAACATCCAAGACGTCTACCGTTTGCTAAACAGGAAGAGGTGCGAACACTGTTAAAAGATATGGAAGAAGGCGATGTCATCGAGCCTTCAGTAAGTCCATGGGCATCTCCCATCGTCCTAGTCAGAAAGAAAGACGGCTCAACAAGATTTTGCGTCGACTATCGCCGGTTGAATGAGGTTACGAAGAAAGACAGTTACCCTCTTCCTAGAATTGACGACATTCTAGACACTCTTTCTGGAAGCAAGTGGTTCTCAACACTTGATTTAAAGAGTGGGTATTGGCAGGTAGAAATACAGCCTGAAGACCGAGAAAAGACGGCATTTACTACGGGACAAGGGCTTTGGCTATTCAAGGTGATGCCGTTTGGACTGTGTAATGCGCCGGCAACATTTGAACGTCTTATGGAAACTGTTTTGAAAGGCCTTTCCTACGAAGCCTGCCTCATATACCTGGACGACATCATCATCGTCGGAAAGAGTTTTGAAGAACATTTAGAAAATCTTAGGAAGGTGCTTCAGAAACTGAAAGAAGCCAATCTGAAGCTGAGTCCCGCTAAATGCAAATTGTTCCGAAAGGAAGTGACTTTCCTGGGGGTGTCCGCCGATAACATCGCGGACGAAAACGTCGCGGAGAAAACAACGCAAGGCGAAAACGTCGTCCTACAAAACATCGTGGGAGAAAACATCGCAAAGAGAAAACATCGCAGTTAAAACATCGTGGTATAAAACATCGTCGTCGAAAATAAAGCGGTTCAAAAACTTCGCAGTTTAAAAACATCGTCGCTGAAAATATCGTGATAAAAAATAAAGTATCTACAAAACATCGCATGACGA